TTTATCATTATAAATAATTAGAAAATAAATATTTAAATGTTTTAAGATTACTTTTATCTTAAGGTTGTATGAAGTGTTTATTTAAGTTTAATTTGAATTATCAATCATAATAATTGTTATTAATAATTGTTGATAATAAATTCCCACAAAAGGCATAAAAATATATTTCTTAACGAAAACCATAATTGAAATGTTTTGCTATAAAATAAATACACATTTTTATTAATTTATACGAAAAGTCTATTTGTTTTTCTAAATTGAATATTTGGTATTATTTATAGAAAAAAAATTTTCACTGACTAAAGCAATAATATAAAACATTTCCGGAATTTTCTGTTACTTTTATGTTTACATTGATTTTGAATGAGCATGTTGTTTAGTTAGCAATTTCTATGCGTTTGTTTGCTATCAAATCATTTACAAATCTTAGCGTTAAAACTCATTATGGCTTAACACTACTTATGTTTTTACAAATATAATTGCAAAAAACAATGTAAAACATACAGAATCAATATGGGTTTTATTTCTAAGTTTGTTAAAAGCTAAACATTGAATGCATTTCTGGTAGAAATACATGACACGTTGTATCTAATCTTATAAATGAATCAAACAATGAATTAACACAATATTATCTAAACCCTAAAATATGGAAATATTTTTTAATTACAAATTTAATGCAAATTATATTTTTAAATGTATAAACAAAATGAAAGCCTTGTTGTAAACCAAGTTGATTGAGTTTATTCTCAATAAAATACTATTTAGTATACAATTACAAGACCTTATGACCCAAACGTCCGTTTCTTTTGCTTATATGAAGCCATAGTAGAGATGAGGAAAAAATTAGTTGACATTTAATAGTCGCAAATGAATTGAAAGCTTTATGACATTTTCTATTACAGGCTATTAGTCGGGGCTCCTTTAGCTCACACGGATCATTATATGAAGCCATAGTAGAGATGAGGAAAAAATTAGTTGACATTTAATAGTCGCAAATGAATTGAAAGCTTTATGACATTTTCTATTACAGGCTATTAGTCGGGGCTCCTTTAGCTCACACGGATCAACCAGATGTGGAAAGAGGTGGTGCTGTCTATAAGTGCAATGTCGACAGTGCCGATGCCTGTCAACAGATTGCTTTCGATAGATCAGGTAATGACACCATTCATGTATATCCAGCACACATTCCTACCCGACAACTATTCGTGTCATTTGAATGCTTTCCAATAATAATATAAATAATATATAAATAATAATTTACATGAATTCAAAACATACATGCTAATTATTGTTTGCAAACTTTTCGGGGTATTTAGGTTCGGGTCAGATATTACTAAACGGCGAAAATAAACAAACAGATGAGAAATCAAACCAATGGTTTGGCGCCACCATTCATAGCGCTGGTGAAAATGGAATGATCGTGGTACAATATTTATTATTTGTTTATTAATAATACATACTTGGATAAATGATCTAAACAAATTATTTTGTAAATTAATTTTTATATTAATATTTAATTTATAAATGGTTTTGATTGCAAGGCATGTGCGCCCCGTTATGTATATTATTCAACCACATTGAAAAGGAGGGACCCCGTGGGCACCTGTTGGATATCCAGGGGATCTTTTACAGGCTTTTTTGAATATTCTCCATGCCGTACACGTAAGTAGTATTTTGTGATTTGTATAATTCAATTTATAATACCCTTTTTGAAAACTAATGCTTTTCAACAAAATATACATTTCTATTAACATTCACTACAAAACTAATGCCATTCTTAATATTTGTCTAATTCTTTAGCTTTAAATAACACACTATTCTCTGCTATACTGTTGAGAAAAGTATCGTAACATAACGTATACTTTATATTCTGTACTTTCTTTAAAAACGGTTAATACCATTCCTAATCAAGCAGTTTATGATTATTAGACTGTTGAAAAACGAGTTAAAGAAACATTTTTTCTCTTCACTTACTATTTATTATTCAATTTTCTATTTAGTTTTTGTTTGCATTTAATATTAAGTTTAAAATAGGTTTTCAAACACATTTGTTTTTCGGATAAACTAGTATATTTAATAACAATTACTAATGCCTTGCTCTAAGAAAAATAATTATTATACAAGTATTTAAGACATAATAATTCGGATGACATAACAGTCCCTAATAAGTATATTAAAGCTTTTATTTTCTAAGTTTCGCAACATAAAGCGATTATTTTCCATGTATTTTTGTTTTTTCAAAAATTCTGACAATTTTTAACATATTTTTATTTCTTATACTTGAGATTTATAAAAACATTAAACATTATAACACTATACTTTCTATTTTTATGATTCAACAAAAAATATTGATAAATTTTTTAATACAATATATAACAAAATTATATCAAACACACTGTATATTTGCACACAGAGGCCTGGGGTTATCATCGACAGGGCTCATGTCAGGCCGGATTGTCTGCCAGTATCTCAAAGGTTGGATTAAAGTTTCATTTATTTCTTCATTCCCTTTCATTCTCACAGCACTTATAGTGAAAAATATTATATTTTTATTAGGTTTATATTATAACATTGAGAGAGAGAGAGAGAGAGAGAGAAAAGATATTATTGTTATAAAATTTTCAACAATAAAATTGATGTTAACATGATGTAAATAATAAATAAATCATTTTATTCTCTGTGTCTATATTTGTGTGGATAATTCATATTTTAGTTTGTGATGGAAAAATATTTTTCACTTAAAATTCCTTTAGCGCCTCCAGTCATATAAGTGAGGAGAGAGAGAGAGAGAGAGCTCTAAATAATAGCTACAATATCCAGAATAAAATGATTTATTTATTATTTACATTCACTTCATGTTAACATCAATTTTATTGTTGAAAATTTTATAACAATAATATCTTTTCTCTCTTTTGTGTCACATTTCATATGAAAAGGATGGAAGGCATCTATACATTGGAGCACCGGGCAGTTGGTACTGGCAGGGACAGGCATTTTCGCAGGATTTACAGGAATCGCAGTCACTATTCAGCACCAGAGAGTCCCCGGCTTATGATGACGACAGCTTTCTCGGTATACTTATAATTAGCTATTATTATACACTGCATTGTATTACATAATGAGCTTTCGCATAATATATTATTTATAAAACACTTTGAATTATAAATCCATAATAAGCCAAAAAGTGTGACCAAAGCGTTGAGTATTTGTTTAGTATATGAATGAATACAAGCACTCAATATGTTTTATACATTGTTTTCGAGCACTTATTGTGTTTAACATAAGCATTACATTGGATTAGATTTGCTCTAAAAAATGTCAGATTTTAGTGTCTGTTTGTCTCATTAAAAATTAATGTCTCTTTAGGTTATTCAACAACTGTTGGTGAGTTCACGGGTGACAAAGACTTCGATGTCGCCATTGGAATGCCTAAAGGAAGTAATCTAACGGGAAAGGTATGTCAACTGTGTCTATATTTGTGTGGATAATTCATATTTTAGTTTGTGATGGAAAAATATTTTTCACTTAAAATTCCTTTAGCGCCTCCAGTCATATAAGTGAGGAGAGAGAGAGAGAGAGAGAGAGGGAGAGAGAGAGGGATCTGTGTCTATATTTGTGTGGATAATTCATATTTTAGTTTGTGATGGAAAAATATTTTTCACTTAAAATTCCTTTAGCGCCTCCAGTCATATAAGTGAGGAGAGAGAGAGAGTGAGAGAGAGTGAGAGAGAGAGAGAGAGAGAGAGAGTGAGAGAGTGAGAGAGAGAGAGAGCAAATGAAGTACAGCTCTTTGAGTTGTATTTGTAAGGATTTGATGCCAGAAATCATTGCTTAGTATATAGTGTCAAACACAAGGAGTTGAAGTGAATTCCGATTTTATTTAATAGAAATGAATGGAAAACATGAGTGCAATTTGGGGCAAACATTTTCACTACTAATGAATTCATTCATTTCATACTAACTTTCATTACGACTAAATTGCGATTTATAATTAATTGAGAGAAAACTCTATGCAGATTGCAGTCATCATGTAATATATTGATAAAATAATTCCCGTAAATCATAAATCAATATAAAGTTTTTCTTAATAAAACATACAAATGATTAATCCAGAATATTATTATATTAATTTAATAAATATTAATTACCGGTATTACACAGAATAAAAAAGTTTCTAATTAAAGATTGTTTTACCATGCATACATATTTCTATAAGTTTAATTTAATAATAGTTGGCATTTTTATGAAATATCTTTTTTTACGCCATATGTTTATGCATTTAAACTTGAAATAATAACTGAATTTGAAAACTTAAAAATTAGGATTAAATTCCGCTACTCTTTAAAAAGATATTTGTTTTTATTGAAAACTAATTTCCCGTTTGAGAGCTGAATTAAGTTAGATGTGTAATTCCTGTACATTTTAGAAATTAAAAATATTTACACAGATGTATATCTAATTAATTATTTCAATCATTCAAATGTCACAAATTCTTTTACAAATCACTGAACTCTAGACTACTATTCAACCCGTACTTGGAATATAGGGTTAAATGTAATAATTTATACAAATGTAATGCCATTCAAAGACTAATTGAAACTCAGATTCTCGGAGAATATCTTTATATTCAGTCGACTTTTTTCATAATAAATATCAGATGCAGTTGTTATTCAATTAATTTCATGCTTTAATTATTTTTATGCTCATCTCACTAGTCTGTCATTATAATAATATTATATTATATGCACTGCAATTTTACTTTTCTCTATTCAAAATTCCCATCAAATTAATTGAAAATACATTTAGAAATGTCTTTAAAAACATTAAAACCTCTTTCCCTTTTATCCCTCTATATATTCACTGCTCTTAATCTTCAGTTTAATTTTTTCGCTCTCTCTCTCTCTCTCTCTCTCTCTCTCTCNTTTGGAAAACAATTATATTTCAAACCATAAGTAATGGATAAGACATTAATGTGTTGTTCTCTAACCCATACATAATGCCATTCATTCACCAATTTCTTCAAACCAACACAATGTTTAAAAATAAAATCTAATGTTATCTCCAAACACACAAATACCGTAATATTTTTCTATTGAATTCAATCGATTTCATAGACAAAACACACACAACACATGAGAATAAGTTATATATAAAGTGAGTACCGAAAAAATCTCGGCACATATTTTAAGCTCCAATGAATAGCAAGTTTTGCAATTCTAAACATTTCGATTCAAAAAGCAAACAACTTTTTCATGTTTTGTATTGCAATCAAACAATTTTCATTCTCCTTTAAAGTTTATTTTAGGGCAAACTTTTCAATTCAATTCAATTCTAATTTCAAAAGCAATTCGACGTCTCTCTCTCTCTCTCTCTCTTCATACTCTTGTCTGTTTCACTATTTACTGATTTTTTTCTCAAAAACATCTAAAATTAGCACAAAATTCTGTTTTGAATTTACAGACTTTGTTTGTTTGAATGGCTTTTATTGCGAGTGAGATCTTGTTTTTAGTAGCGTTTGAGTTAATATTATCCACACAAACTATTTTGCATCCAATAACTAAATATACAGTAATTATTATTAGTATTATATGTTATGTCGAGAATAAGAGCAGGGAATTATAGCCATTAATCTTGAAGTTTAGCTGAAATATTATTTATTGTTTGACGAATAGGTTATTCTGTACACATCAACGCTCAAGAATATTTATAACATAACCGGAGACCAAATGGGGGCATACTTTGGCTATAGTCTCGCTACGGCTGATATCGATGGCGATGGGTATGTGTGCCATGAGATGGTGTTATACTTAATTAATGACATATTCAGTGATAAATGAATTTCAAGGCAACATTGGCATTATAGTTTTATAGCGAAAAATATGAAGAATATTTTATGATAGCTTATAAAAACTAGTGAACAACACTCTCCATACAGTATAACTAAATATAATATAATCATAAAATTCTGTGTATTCTGTGATCCAAATGATCGGCAATTCTGTAGACTCGACGACGTGGTGATCGGCGCTCCACTGTATTCGCCACCAAATGCTAAGGATCTGAGTTATGAAAAGGGAAGAATTTATATCGCATACCAGACCAGAGAGGTATGGCATCTCATCTCAATTTCATTTTAATAACCCTTTCTAATCATATTAAATCCATCAAAACACTAATACAACTCCAATATTAATCAAGTTTTATTATTATATATTTCGCTTGATTTCAATATTAGAGCTTTTATTGTATTATAAAACTTCTATCAGACGTGTATTAATATTTTATTTGAGATTCACATTTAAATTTTATTAAATTTGGAACTGGATGGTTATACATTTAATATTAATTATAATTTTTTTTATTTCCACTCAAAAAGCATCGATTTATTATCAAAGATGACGACCACATCGATGGTCTCAAATCGAAAGCCAGGTTTGGTATGTCTTTGGCCTCTCTGTCGGACATTAATAAGGATGGCTTCGACGACATCGCTGTTGGCGCGCCATATGACGGGGAAAAGGGAACGGGAGCTGTTTATATATACTTGGGGTCGAGGAAGGGCTTACAACCCAAGTATTCGCAAGTGATTTACGCGGAAAATATCAACGATCCCGGACTCAAGACATTTGGCTTCTCGTTGTCGGGCGGACTGGATCTCGACAACAATCAATATCCAGACCTATTGGTGGGCGCGTATGCCTCAGACAGAGCCATATTCCTGAGGGCCCGACCCGTTGTCAATGTGACGGCGAGTCTAAGTTTAGCCAAACAGAGCGTCGGCTTAGAAGACAAGGATTGCAGTTTAGCTGACGGCTCACGAGTGCCCTGTCTTAGCATCAAATTGTGTCTTAAATATGACGGATTGGGAGTTGAAAACCAATTGGGTTTGTGTTCAAACATTATTATTATTATTATTATTATTTCCACAAATTTCTTATTTTTATAATAATTAACTCCAAATATTATCTATAACTTTATAGACTATAAGTCATCTATAAGTTATAAGAAAATGTTTTGTATGACAAACAGCATAGTGTTCAGTAGAAAAAAAATATATATTGTATATAAGAATCGTGTAAACAGTAGAAAATAATTTGAAAAATCTGCTAGTTGTCTGTCATTAAAAACAAAACGAAAAAATTTCAACAGTTTATTACTGACACAATAACACGAGGACCTAATAGTACATCAAAATGAAAGAAAACTAATTCTTAACTAAATATTTATTTTTATGATTATTTTTGAGAAAACAATTTCTATGTTTTTCTCGAAAATTGGGAAAACAGAGTGTTTTGTAGACTAAAAGTCAATATTATTCTCATTTGTGATGAACGAAAAAAATTGATTCTTTGCGACAGATTTTGTTTATGAGACCAAATTGGACGCCGCGTCCCGTCGAGCGCCGCGAATATTCTTTCTCCACAAAGAAAGGGAAAACGAGGAGAAGATCCGGGTTCAGCTCAACAAAGGCTCCAACTATTGCACCAGTCGTCAGGCATATCTCGCTGTGAGCATAATTATCTGCCTGTCCTCTCATTATCTGCTCTCTCTCTCTCTCTCTCTCTCGCATTTCTCTATCAATTCTATGGACTTCTGCTCTCTCTCTCTCTCTCTCTCTCTCTCTCTCTCGCATTTCTCTATCAATTCTATGCACTTCTACTGTTATCTCTTCGTATTATTAACTTTTCTCTCAATTGCAGAGTAATCTTCGGGATAAATTGACACCAATTAAAGTGAATGTGGAGTACAGTCTTAATGAGATGCCGATGGAGAGGACACTGAAGCCGGTGCTCAATCAGGCCGTCACCAGTCTATTGACGCAACAGATAAACATCAGAAAGAATTGCGGAAAAGACAACATTTGTGTCCCAAACCTCGTCCTCTCTGTCCGACCGTAAGACCACTTCTCGGCTATTATTTCGTTATTTATTGCATTTATTTTGGTTTTTATTTTTTATAACAATTATAATAATTTTATAACATATAACGTTCATTCAATTTACACGCAAATTAGTTTTGGGTATCACTTTTTCATAACTATTCGTTAATCATATATAATATGTTTAATACGTTTGTCATTTATTTAGTATTTTATCTCGATTTCAGATCTCTCTCTGCTTTTTCACTCATTGTTTTTACTTTTATTTTTTGTTATTTTTCACAACATTTAGAAAATTGAATTTCGAAGTGAAGTGCAAATTGAGTTATAAGTTATGTCTGACATTAAACTCAAGGCTAATATAAGATAGAAATCAAATAAATTATTAAATAATTTATTGAATCATTTTTTGCAGCACTGGTATTTGAATTAACACTACTCTGTGTAAAGTCACAATCAATTTAGAAAAATGTTTGTGTAAACCAAAACTCCGAGACTATTATGACTTCCTTTATATGTTAGGCATAGGAATCGCAGGAATTGTGAGTCAGTTATCGCTAAAGATTACAAACACAATAATCATATATTATATAAGTCTTTGTTTGCAAAACGGGTATAAAAACAATTCATACAATTTATGAATGACTTTAACTGCTAGTCTCCCACCCCTTACGGCCCACTCGATTACACGTCTATTATTGACGGACAGAGTTAATTTACGATTATTTATAACATATAAACCTTTTGTTAATATAAAGTTTGGTATTCATTACCTATTCTGTAATTACACAACAAGAGATTGGGTATGTATTACGGTAAGTAAGTGGTTAAAGAAGTTTGGAACACAATGTTTAAAAATAAAATCTAATGTTATCTCCAAACACACAAATACCGTAATATTTTTCTATTGAATTCAATCGATTTCATAGACAAAACACACAACACATGAGAATAAGTTATATATAAAGTGAGTACCGAAAAAATCTCGGCACATATTTTAAGCTCCAATGAATAGCAAGTTTTGCAATTCTAAACATTTCGATTCAAAAAGCAAACAACTTTTTCATGTTTTGTATTGCAATCAAACAATTTTCATTCTCCTTTAAAGTTTATTTTAGGGCAAACTTTTCAATTCAATTCAATTCTAATTTCAAAAGCAATTCGACGTCTCTCTCTCTCTCTCTCTCTCTCTCTCTCTCGGAAACTCAAAATTCATTTTAAAAATGAGTTCCACTTTAATATTACGTCAAAACACCGAAAACCCTTTGCATTCACATCGGGTGATAAATAACTAACTCTTCATTCAAACAATTATTTATCTAAACATATTATCCTTAAATTTCTTGTCATTTATTCAGTTGTTGTGCAAATAGTTTTCTAATTCTATGTGTATTACTATTCACTTCGATTCTGTATAATTTTCCAGTTAAACAGAATCCTATGCATATTACTTTATAATAGAGACCCTTGTGATTAAAACGTTGACAATATTAGCTTTACAGGAAATATGTTAATCAACACCTTTGTTGAAATATTTTATTCAAGGTGTAATTTAGTTTTGTTGCAAGTATTTCTAAACAAAATACAGAATATTCTTATACGAACAATGGTATTATATTGTAGGTGTTGTGTAGGATATTGAGTAAAGAATTTTCGTTTTGATAGATGATAAATATCTCCAGTTTCCCTTATAATCAAAAACCTAGTGTTTTGTTTCATTTAAATAAAAGCAATTTTTGTGTCTTTTTTGCATTGAATCCAATTCTCGTTAAATTGAATTCATTATTCTAATGAAAGTATTTTTATTTTGTTTTATATTACCATTAAGACTAGTTTTAATGGTTAGTCCCGTTCCCATGAATCAAATGTCTAGAATTCTGGTATATTTTTAGTATTTAGGATTTTTCTAATTCTATGTGTATTACTATTCACTTCGATTCTGTATAATTTTCCAGTTAAACAGAATCCTATGCATATTACTTTATAATAGAGACCCTTGTGATTAAAACGTTGACAATATTAGCTTTACAGAAAATATGTTAATCAACACCTTTGTTGAAATATTTTATTCAAGGTGTAATTTAGTTTTGTTGGGAGTATTTCTAAACACAATACAGAATATTCTTATACGAACAATGGTATTATATTGTAGGTGTTGTGTAGGATATTGTATATCTTGAGTAAAGAATTTCTGTTTTGATAGATGAAAAATATCTCCAGTTTCCCTTATAATCAAAAACCAAGTGTTTTGTTTCATTTAAATAAAAGGAATTTTTGTGTCTTTTTTGCATTGAATCCAATTCTCGTTAAATTGAATTCATTATTCTAATGAAAGTATTTTTATTTTGTTTTATATTACCATTAAGACTAGTTTTAATGGTTAGTCCCGTTCCCATGAATCAAATGTCTAGAATTCTGGTATATTTTTAGTATTTAGGATTCCCGTCGTCTAACCAAACACTACTTATATTACAGAATAATTGATGAAATATTATTAAAACCCATTGACAAATTAAATATCTTTTTGAAACAAAAACAAGTTAACAAAATTTTTACTACAATTTAAAATGTTATATTTGTTTCTGAAATATAAAAATAAGAAATGTATCCTAAAAGTAACCCTTACAAGCCCTATTAAAGTTTGTTGATTAAAATTTTATAAATAAACAAACAAAAGTTGCTTTACAAAGCCACATAAAAATTGCTGTAAGACTTGTTTTGTAAACGCTTAATAATAAATTCAATTTGAGATGTATTTTTGTTAAAAGTAATGCTCTCGGAAACTATTTATTTTGTAATTTAAATTACATAATAGTTATGGGGTTTGGTTTGTGTAGCGTTTTGTACACTCTATTCGCTTTAATAAATTCAATTTGAGATGTATTTTTGTTAAAAGTAATGCTCTCGGAAACTATTTATTTTGTAATTTAAATTACATAATAGTTATGGGGTTTGGTTTGTGTAGCGTTTTGTATACTCTATTCGCTGACTATTGCAGTTCAATGCGAAATGATATAACATTTTATATTTGAAAATCTCGATTAAAGTCTCAAAAGAGACACCAAATTATGCAAACAATCGGTTAGAATAGTAGAAATGATAACATCTCTAAGGCTAAGATAAACACCAGGAAAGAAATATATAAAAAAAACTTTTTCTCGTATTTATATAAAGTTTGAAATACTGTATAAACGAAACTAAAAAATCATTTCTCTCGGAGTATATCTATGTCTACACGGCGTATGTGTTACTGAATATCATATTAGAAAAATGAGCAAAAATATATTCGTTATATTATTTCATTTATTTATACAATAAATTCATAGAAAAACTTTTTTTGGACGACAAAAATAAATTGCAAAAACTAAAATATTAGAAATAAATTTGTGTCGACTATAAGTATGTGTGTGTCGTGTATATGATAAACCTGATGAGTGTCTCTATTTTTATATCGGATCCATAGTTCTGGTGATGAATACATAGTTGGCAGCAGAAAGAGGATTGAATTGGTTATAACAGTCGTTAATAAAGGAGAGGATGCCTTCGAGTCGATGCTCTATTTATTCATGCCTACAGATGTTAACTATGTCAACATAAACAAGACTAAAAATGTATGAATCTTTTTAAAAACCTACTCAATCTTATATATATACGTATATCTTATATATTATATATATATGCCTCCACTCTCTTCCCATTCCTTAGCATCCATTCCCTGTCTATACTCTTTTCCAACTCTTATCTTTCCCACTGAAATAAGGCTTTTAAAAATATTTGATATAAACTCTAACATAACAGTCGATTCCGTTTTGTTTACCAAAAATCCTTTAAAAATTTAAAGCTTAAACCAAATCAATAAATCCTTTGAAAATATCTGTTATTGTTATGAAATAATTAAATATATAGTAGACATAACGTCACTTGAATAACTAATGAATTAAAAACTTAAATATGTAACCTAATTAAAAATCTATTAATAGATGATTAATTTTCAGATGATTATAATTCTGAAAATTATGTATAATTTTTGAGCCCTTAATTCCTAAAGAATTACCAAAAAACAAGACGAAACCCAATGTTTGAGTTATTTTCCCTCTCATTCTTATGAGTAATACAGCATTTCCTTCATCTGAATCTGTCGTTTATTTTTGCAAACATTTATTTTTGGCTTATATTTGATGCACTCGTATATTAACTCAAATAGAGTGACGTCGTTGCTCTATTTATTCATGCCTACAGATGTTAACTATGTCAACATAAACAAGACTAAAAATGTATGAATCTTTTTAAAAACCTACTCAATCTTATATATATACGTATATCTTATATATTATATATATATATGCCTCCACTCTCTTCCCTGCTTCCCATTCCTTAGCATCCATTCCCTGTCTATACTCTTATCTTTACCACTGAAATAAGGCTTTTAAAAATATTTGATATCAACTCAAACATAACAGTCGATTCCGTTTTGTTTACCAAAAATACTTTTAAAATTTAAAGCTTAAACCAAATCAATAAATCCCTGAAAAATATCTGTTATTGTTATGAAATAATTAAATATATAGTAGACATAATGTCACTTGAATAACTAATGAATTAAAAACATAAATATGTAACCTAATTAAAAATCTATTAATAGATGATTAATTTTGAGATTATTATAATTCTGAAAATTATGTACAATTTTTGAGCCCTTAATTCCTAAAGAATTACCAAAAACAAGACGAAACCCAATGTTTGAGTTGTTTTCCCTCTCATTCTTATGAGTAATACAGCATTTCCTTCATCTGAATCTGTCGTTTATTTTTGCAAACATTTATTTTTGGCTTATATTTGATGCACTCGTATATTAACTCAAATAGAGTGACGTCGGCTGTTACGGCGCCCAACCAGACCGGACAGGTATTAATAACTTGGAGTGTGACATTGGAAACCCATTGACTGGCGGATCTAAGGTAACATTCAAACCCATATATACAGTATATAACAAATTTAAGGAACTTATAAACTTCTAAAAACTTAATCAAAACATCAAAATTCAATTTCAACCCAAATTCTAATGAAATCGAAAAATTGTTTTTCTAATAAAATCGAAAAATTGTTTTTCTAATCAAATGAAAACATTGTTTTTTCTCATGTATTGGCCAACAGTTGGAATTCACAATAATTATGGAGCCGTCGAAGCAGATATCGGCCACATCTCCAGACTATACGTTCATAATTGAAGTGAACAGTACTAACCCGGAACGAGCCACAGATACCGATGATAACAGAGCTATTCTGGGAATACCGCTTAGGGTTGAAGTCAATCTAACCATTTACGGGTCGGAACAACGCTTTTATTATATTATCACACCATTTGCACAACACGCCAATCAAAACCACAAAACATTGTCTTTTATTGTCATATAAAAAGCCCGTTCCCTCTCATGTCGAGCTTTTTTCTATTGATTTTCTTTTTTCCGTTATTTTATTAGTTGTAATATTTTTATTATTTTCGTCTGGTTTTGTCTTTTAAGCAAATCTCTCTCTCTCTCTCTCTCTCTCTCTCTCTTCTCTCTCTCTTTCTCTCCATATGTTATATACAGTAATATATTGTTTTCCTTTGCCAACAAATATAAGTTAAACTGAATATACAGTATATTCTGTACAGATATTCTGTATTCAAACACAAATTCTCATGCGTTTTGTATTCGCTGTACATCTGATACACACAGGGTTTCAGATCCAGACGTGTTGTCATTCAACGCTACGGCAGAGACTTTTGTGACACCGAAACAAGTATTAGAAGACATTGGACGCGAGATAAGCCATTCATATACAATACAAAACAGAGGGCCCTCGACCATCAAAAGGGCTGACGTGACCATTCTGTGGCCGACACGGGATTTGAGGGGCAATTACTTATTATATCTGGTCGACCAGCCCATCGTTAGGAGTAAACTTTAATAACACAATTTGAGTAATTTTCTAATTGTATGATTAAATTATGAAATTTCATGTCCAGTCGTGCGGAACAACTAATTGCACGAAAATCATATGCACTGTCTATGAGTTGGATACAAACGATACGGTATTATTCACAATACGGTCCCGTTTTTGGAAGGAGAACATAGAGCTCATCAATTTGGAGGAGTTCCAGATCTCATCCAAATTAGTGGCTTTAGTCACATCATTGCCGTACGACGTCGATCACAGCCTACTACTGCCATACGTACAGACCGTCTCCACCAAAATCTATGTCACCGGACTTGACAGGACCGAACCCATTCCACTCTGGATTATCATATTAGCCATAGTCATCGGTTTACTCATTTTGGGCGGACTGGCCCTCGCACTCTGGAAGTTAGGCTTCTTTAAGCGCAAACGTCCGCCGAGTGATAGCGCCGACAGAGAACCGCTTCAGTCCCGCAACGGCTATCACTACCGCAAAGGCGACACTTCCTTATAATGACGGAGTTATCATCATTTTTATATAAATTGATTTTTTGTCTCAAACAACACTTTTATTTAATTAATGCAATGATTTTTTCATTCAATGAAACACATTCTCCTAAACTAAAGACTGAATTGAATTTTTAAAATAGAGTCATAAAAATATGTAATAATAGTAAATCATATTTAATAACTATAATAACTACAGAATCCAATTCAACACTCATTTTTCAACTAAATCTGTGAATTGAGTTGATATTCAAAACTCATTTTCAGACACAAAATGAGAGATTCTTGATATTCATTATAATAATAAAGACATCGATTGAGAGCATCTATTAATGACATGAAGAATATGAGAGAAGAATACCATTAGAAGTCTTTCATATATATAAAGATAATAACGCGACAAAAGAAATACTTA